AAAATACGCAGTGTTGCCGACTCTCATCAGACTTGTGACATTTTAGTGCTCTTCTTAAAGCCTCAGCTGCTGGAATCATGTGATTGTGAGAATCTCCACTTTCATTTAAAAAAAATGTAAGTTTCTAGCTCTCTTGGCTGCAGAGTAAAGCTTGAACATGTGAAATCGAAAGACACAAAACCAAAAGACAAATAAAGACCCAAAATGTCTTATTTTAAAAAAATTGACTGTGTTAAAGCTAGTCTCATGATTTTGATGGGGGCATATGATTCATGATTTTTGCCTTTTGAGGAACTGGTAAACAAGGGACTGATTTTTTTCTCAGACCAGTTTTACATTGAGGTAATACCTTTGGCTTCAGTGAGGTTATTTCTGCCCTGCCCTGGTGTAAGTGAGAGAAGTGGGCTAAAAGTATCCAGCTGCAGAAAGAAGACAGATTGATTGCTTGTAGCTAATCAGCGTAGTGACACTGTATCTTATACACTTAACCTCTACTGCTGGACTGACTGGCTAATGTAATAGCATGTTGAAAAACTCAGGGCCACAATACTTGTGAAGAGCTTCAAGGAGTTTTGCTGCCAAGAGACTGATACTTTTGTGGGCTACTCAAGTATTTCAAAACTTAGAAGTAAAAATGAATAGTGAAGCTGATCCATTCTGTTAACAGGTCAGTTGTTTCTTACACAAACCAGAATGGCCATTAGAAAGGAGATCCAGCTATATGTTTATAGGTAGGGGTTTTTTTTAAGCTTATTGGTGAAGACTTTAAAAAGTGATTAGTGGTTTTTCCGTGTGCAACTTGAGATGCCATAAAGGAGCCTGACTTAGAGTGTGGGTGCTCAGCATTTTCTGAAAATTGGACGCATCGAGTTGTCTCAAGTTGGGCACTCAGTCACTTGTCTCTTCTGAAACTTCTGGCTGTAGGTCTCACATTTATGTTGGCCCTTTATTGAGGTGACATGACAAATCATAAATTATGCACGATGTAGTTTGTCTTTCTTTTTGTACGTGATTAAAATGCCACGAGAATGTAACCTAAGTAAATCTTATTGAGCAGCACTGTTTGAAACTATTTCAGTTTTCAGTCTCTCTCTTTATCAGGCAACAGATATTCTCATCTGTTACAGGAAATGAATAAGGCATACTATTACCACAGGCAGTTTCCTTCCCTGGCATGCGCATGCTTTACTAATACAGAGGAGAAATCCAAAAAAATTAGCGGTGACTAAGCTGCACCACCTACTGTGACCTAATATAGCATCTTACTGGATATTAACATTTATCTGGGACTGGCTTAACCAGTCAAATGTGGAAATAAGGCAGTTTACACAAACAAACAAAAAACCCCCCTCCCACCCTGAAAAAACCAACCAAACGGGAAAAAAACCCAGACCAGACTGAGCAGACTCAACCCTATGGTAATTGCCACCACACAAGAGATCTAAACTTGGTTTCCAAGCCCATCCTCTCAATCCCCAGGCTGACAGGTGTCTCAAAAGCCAGAGAGAGGGCACCTTCTCTTGCGCTTAAATACCCCCCTCTGGATGAAGCATGAAGTGGCACAGAAAGGTCCTAAAATGTGCTAAATCTCAACACTACAGTAATGGAGGTCTTTGGTAAAAGAGGAGAAATGGTGGATTTTGGGAGTCCCTTTTGTTGCTGACTTTGGTACATGCAGGTGTACTTGGTTTGGGCTAAGCTGACTTGTCCGTTCCAATGCTTGACCCTTGATTTGTTTTGCAACATGGCTGGCAAATGTAGGCTTTAACCATAAGGGAAAAAGCAGTCTTCAGTTCTGCTGATGACTAGGGGTATGCATGGTTCCTATATAAAGTGGCACACAGTAGTTTTATGCAGTAAGTATACACAAATATGCATGTACTTGGTAAGCTTTCCTGATCATGGGTGGAGGAATGATGTGGGTTTCTGTTAAGTGAAGATAGTTAGGGTGACTCCGCTTTTTATTAAACATTTATATGACACTTGAACATTTCATGGTGTCTCTCTGCCAGAGCTTACTTGTGCCATCTTTTAATTTTTAAACTTCAGTAATGAGTATTTTGAAAGGGGTTATTGAACAGATCTATTAAGTTAAGTTAACTAATAAAATTTATTTCTCATGTGTGTCTGTCTGCCTCCCGTTATACACTACACTTACATTAACAATGTGATTTAAAATGCATGAGGTAAGTATTCTAGACTCTATTTGCTGAGTTTCTGTGGACTCACAACTAGGCCAGCTAGTTTCATCTTCATGTGCATGTACTAGTTTGTTGGAGACATTTGGCTCATTGTGTTCTTTCACCGTGGATTGTTTACTGAACAAACAGACCAAAGAGTCTTTCAAATTTTAAAAGCCAACAGCTCTGAAATGGTTTAATAGAAAATTTGAGACAGATGCCACAGCAATGAATAGGCAATCTTTGGAACTCATGGCTGCAATACATTACTTGGAAGAATATCTGGACAAGATTAATAAAATTAGACCATTATCAGGGAAGAATAGCATCAACATTTGTACTGTAGTAGCTTGGGTAAAATTCCAAGGGTTTTCAATTCAGAGGCTTCAGGGTTTAAAGTGATCACCAGTTAGGGTCAGAAGAAAATATTCTCCTCCTTCCTCTGCCTACCCTTTGGTACAGTTTTGAAAATTAGGTACACTATGGTGGTCTGCCTTCTTGGGAAATATCTGGTAGTGGCAAACGTCTGGGACAGGATACCAAATCACCATGGGCCATTGTTCTGTTCTGGTATGGCAACTCCTATTTCCTATGTTCCCTCTTTTCCACTGTTCTAGGTATCTAGGTCTCTACTAACCCCAAGATATTAAAAACGGCACACAGGAAAATAATACAGGTTTTATATCAAAAGGGAGAGATCTGAAATGAGGAATTTAGCCAAGTTGAATATTATAGACCCATTTGCTAAATCCTGGATGGGATGGAAGTGGAAGAAGAAGACGACAACAAAATAAGTTTATGGGACCCCTCAGTCTCCCAAGATATTTGGGAACAATAACAGTGGGAACAAAAGTGGTGTGACAGAGACTGAATTGTCTCCAGAAAATTAAAAAAAAGAAAAAGAGAGAGCTGTCTCTGAACATTCACTGATTCCTTACAGCTAAACCTTTTTGTTCTACACTGCTCTAGAGTGTGGTTGAAAATGTATGTAAAAGAAATTTAATCAAAAAGCATTGAATTATTCCATTACCCTAACCTTGCTAGCTGAGGAGTTATGTTGGAGAAGTAAAATTGAGACACTTCAAATCTCAAGCAAAATAGAACCATATGCAAAAAACCTCTTCCACTGTGGTTATTTTATATGGATTATCTGATTTGCACTCTTTAAGATTTCTGGATTCTTTTCTGGTGAGTCTAAATAGTAGGGATTGGGTATGTGGTAACAACCTCTTCCAGCAGAGAATAATCACTCTCTTTAGATATATACCAATATATTCATTTTCCTGTAGGAAAATGGTTTATCTTGATATTTTTTCATCAAGGCTAAATGGGAGGAAACAAACTGAGCCTGTCTTAGCTGATGTTCAGAACTCATTGAAGCCTGCATACCAGACGTGGGGAATTTATTAAATGCTATTTGTGGGGTATATGCTGTACATGTAGGTTTCCTGAATATCCACTGCCAAAAGCAGTTTAGGTTGGAGAACTTTATTTCAAAGACCTTTTCTCTCTCATTTTTAAAATGGATATGTATTCTGTAGCGGTATTAGTTTGTAACTTTAGCTTGTGTTTCAAAGATTATACTAGTACTCATTCTGCTGGGAAAGCTTGTTTTGTTAATGATTCCATTATAAAACTTTTTTCCCCCAGAGGTTATGAATTTAGTCTATGGTGAAACTCACTGGGCATGATTTCACTGGATGTGTTACTTATTTTTTAAAATAAAAATTATTGGTGTATTTGTCATTTAATTGGAACTGTAACAATGAATGGGCCTATTTTCCTAAAGTTGAAGAATCTCTAGGACACTTTCTTTAAACTCATAACACTAAAAGATCATCAAGTATATGAACAAAAATGTCGATGTGATTATTAAACATTAAACATCAACTTTGGCTATTTTTTGAAAGTTATACAGGTATTGTGTTAAGTAACTGTAAATATTGCTATAACTGCATTGCTATAATTATCTCCGTACTTTTTCCTCAAATGGGAGATTCAGTACTGGTTTATATTTGGTGAGATTTTTAGCATCAAGATATGATTCCTTGTGTACAGGCCTCAACAGTATCTCCTCAAGAACACCTGGCACCTTGCCTTTGGAAAATTTCCACCAAACCAGGTCTGCACCTCTAGCCTTCCCCACCCTAGAGAGTTCAATGCAGCGTGGTTGTCATTCAGAAGCACCTCCAATTCTTCCAAAATTCCATATATTGATAGATTTTTAGTACCAGAAGAAATCCTTAGAGCATCTAGTCTGACTTGTGTGTAACACAGGCCACAGAATTTCACTCAGTTATCCCTGAACTGATCCAAATAACTTGTGTTTGACAAAGCCAAGACTGTTGGGTTTCAGTGAGCAACAATGGCCAAGACTAAGTCTGTCATCTTGATTTTGACTTCAGACTTAGATATGTAAAAGGTCCACAGTTAATATGAAAATGAAGCAGCATATAATAATTCTTTCTAAACTGATGATCTATTTTCCTATTAGAAACCCTGCTAAAAGCACTCTTTGGCAAAGAATGAAATAATTCTGGTAACGAATTTGATTTCAGAAAATTACCTGGTGTAGTATTAATAAAAAATTACTAACTTTCTTCCTGGGCAGTTTAATACAGTATAAATAAGTTATATCCCTGTTTACCAGCCAATTTAATGTATCCTATATAATCCGTAAATGCACTGAAAAACTAAAGCACTAGTATCGCAAAGAGTTACATATGTGCTTAACACAGATGAGTAGTCCCACTGACGTTTAAATCTGTTTCCTTCTCTAAAAGAACGATTCAATATAGCAGATAATCTCATAGAACCTACTTGTTTGTTTCCAGGGTGGTTTTCAGTTTTTCAATAGCTGTATTAGATGTGCTTGAGTACCTTTTTACAGCTGCTTGTAAGGAATCCAATAATTCCAATGTTCCTGCGGAAATAGGTAAGAAGTTTTGAACCAGGGTGGGAATGAGGGGAATGGAGGGGACTAACACTAAAAAATCAAAACTGCTAATGCAAAAACTGCAGTTAAAAACAAATTCTGTAATTTACAGTAATACTATAATCCAGACAATCTGCATTTGTAGAGTAGAAGGGGGAGACTGAAAACTATACTGTCCGAAAAGCTTAAATAGCCAATAAAATAGTCATTTGCAATGATATATTACAATTGCTCTAGCCAAAAATAAAAGGGATGGGGCAATTTGTATAATTAAAGTTCTCATGGAAATTGTCTGATTTTACAATCCCACCAATGCTTCGCAGTACTGGCCTAATAATTAAAAATTGCTTTGGCTTTCACAGTAATTATAATGATTTGGTTTTAGTGTGCATATCTTAAGTAGGCCTGTATGCTTCCATTGGAATCAGCAAATTAACTAGACCATTTAATTGTTGCCACAATTCCTGTAGCCATGTAAACACAGTTGTACAGACATTTTCAATGTTTGTTGGAGACCTATTAAAACAAGGGGCTACTCTGACTTTTGGAAACATCAAAAGAATGAATGCTGTGATTTATCACTTTTCATATTTTCAAATGGTAGTAAAATCAGGAAGACAGAGGAGTGAAGAATAATAGAAGGTAAAGAATATAGTATTGGGGGAATGGAGATGCCTAATTAAAGTGGTTCTGCAAAGCAAATTTATTGAAGAAGAATGCTTGAAGCCTAATCTAGATGTGGAACACTAAGGCTAAATAGGCTATTGTTCTGGGATATCTCCCTTTTTGTCATTGTTGCATGTCTAGTCATTGGTCAACCAACAATTTTGATGAATAACAGTATACTTGAGAACAACTTAGCAAATCAGTTCCTAAGGATACTAGGTGGAGACAAAAAGAAAATAAATCCCACGATCGTATGATCTGAAGGTGAAAGAGGTTGTACTCATAGCTATGAAACATTGGAATTCCCACCACTTTTTAACTGGCAGTAAAACAGGTGGTTTTGGCAACTGCAAAAAATAATTCAGTGTAAGATGTGTTGAGTAATTATTTAAGTATCTCTTTCAAAGCAACTACCATTCTTTAGTTTTATATGAAAGAAGAACTTTTCATCCTCTGGCAACTCCTTTTTGAATGTTACATTTTCCACTGGTTTCCCATTTAGAAGTTTTCAGATCCTTGTTTGACAAAATGTTTGTTTCGGGTTTCCTTCTTTAGCTTTTCATCCGTGCTTTTGCTTCACTGCCATTACCTTCCTTACTTTCTCAATCACCACCTTAGCTTTTTTTCAGCCCAGAATTCTCTATCATCTGCCTTTTGTATAGCTAGGTATGGAATTGCTGTGTACAGTAGAGCTGATTTTGTTGTTTGGAAGGAAACCTTGTAGCTAGTTTATTGGATAGCTTATTTTCTCCTCTGCTAATTAATCAAACGTTAACACCAACTTTTGTAATGAACATATATTAAGTAGATACGTGTACTGTAGAGTGACTTCAAATACATCTGCCTGAGTATCAATTGTTGGGCTGAGAGTCACTCTGCTTGAGCGGCTTCCAATGAGAAGTCCTATGTTTGGCAAAAATCCCCTTAACAAGACCAAATATTTGACTTGCTTTTCTCATTTGCAGACAAAGACTTTGAGATCACCTGCTCTAAATGGACCTTTAAAACAAAAGTACAAAGAAGTGAAGTCACTAGACCACAGTTGCAGAGTAGGAATTCGAACCAAGGTCTCCTGAGTCCCTGTCTAGTGTATTTCTCAGCTTTGGTGATCTACTCAAAATTTGGAAAGCCATAGGCATTGTTTTTAAATTACTGCCACGTAACAAAATTACACAAACAAGCAACAAATTATATTCACTATGTAGGAACCTGGAAACCAATGAGCACAGCCAGACTTAGCAAGATCTCCTTATTTTATGCTTAATTAGATCAAATTCAGAAACACCCCTATGACTACCTGTGGTTTGAGTAAAATCTCCCCACTGTGGGAGTAATATGTGAAATGTAAAAGAACAGATTCCCTTGTGATTTCATTCAGGTATGGTAAATGGCCACATACTTTGGGCCAAATTCAGCAAGGAGGAGAGGCCCTGAGACTCTTTGTAACAACCAAATTACTTGCAATCTTTTTTTGATAAGATTGCAGATTTGGTTGATAAAGGTAATAGTGCTGATGTAATATACTTCGACTTCTGTAAGGCGTTTGATTTGGTACTGCACAATATTCTAAAAAAACTAGAATTTAATAAAATTAACATGGCATACATTAAATGGATTAATTCCTAGGTCTCAAAATGTAATTGTAAATCAGGAATCATCCTCAAGTGGGTGAGTTTCTAGTGGGGTCCCACAGGGATCAGTTCTTCGCCCTATGCTAATTAACTTTTTTATCAGTGACCTAGAAGAAAACATAAAATCATCACGAATAAAGTTTGCAGATGACACAAAAATTGGGGTAGTGGTAAATAAAGAAGAGGATGGGGCACTGATAGGAGTGATCTGGATCACTTGATAAACTGTGTGAAAGCAGACAATATGCATTTTAATATGGCTAAATGTTAATGTAAACATTTAGGAACTAAGGATGTAGGCCATACTTACAGGATGGGAGAAGCAGTGACTCTGATGTAGATGGAGAAGCAGTGACTCTGAAAAAGATTTGTGGGTGGGGGTGAATAATCAGCTGAACATGAGGTCCTAGTGCAACGCTGTGGCCAAAAAGGCTAATACGATTCTTGGATGCAGAACCAAGGGAATCTCGAGTAGGAGTAGACAGATTATTTTACCTCTGTATTTGGCACTGGTGTAACCCCTGCTGGAATACTGGGTCCAGTTCTGGTGCTCACAATTCAAGAAGGATGATGATAAATTGGAGAGGGTTCAGAGAAGATCCACAAGAATGATTAAAGGTTGAGAAACCATGCTTTCAGTGGCAAACTCAGGGAGGTCAGTCTATTTAGTGTAACACAGAAAAGATTTAAGGGATGACTTGATTACACACTTCAAGTACCTACATGGGAAGAAATATTTAACAATGAGTTATTCAGTCTAGCAGAGAAAGGTATGACATGATCCAATGGCTGGAAGTCAAAGCTAGACAAATTCAGATTGGAAATAAGGCGTAAATTTTTAATAGTGAAGGTATTAACCACTTGAACAGTTTACCAGGGGTTGTGGTGTATTGTCTATTTCCGGCCATTTAAAAATTAAGATTACATATGTTTTTCTAAAAGATATGATTTAGGAATTATTTTGGGGAGGTTCTGTGGCCTGTGGTGTATGGGAGGTGAGACTAGATGATCACAGGGGTCCCTTCTGGTCTTGGAATCTATAACTCTACTGAAGGTGTAACTCCTTATGCCAGCCATGAAATCGGTTAATTTTCTTAAATGATGTTTAGAACAAATTACTGTCTTATTTACCTCGTAGAACAGGCTTAGAACAGGAACATCGGAAATTGTGTGTGCACTTTATTTTGATACCGACATTTCATCTGTCTTCCAGTTAAACTTTTTGCATGATTGTTTCCTGTTGTCGTCTTCCATGTTGGCACATGAAATTGCAAGCCCATTAGCAAGAATTTTTAATGAATCTGTAAACTGAGGGGTTGTACCGTATGATTGGAGAATTGCTAACATAGTTCCTATTTTTAAGAAAGGGAAAAAATGTGATCCGAGTAACTATAGGCCTGTTAGTTTGACATCTGCAGTATGCAAGGTCTTGGAAAAAATTTTGAAGGAGAAGGTAGTTAAGGACATTGAAGTCAATGGTAAATGGGACAAAATACAACATGGTTTTACAAAAGGTAGATCGTGCCAAACCAACCTGATCTCCTTCTTTGAGAAAGTAACAGATTTTTCAGACAAAGGAAATGCAGTGGATCTAATTTACCTAGATTTCAGTAAGGCATTTGATACCATGCCACATGGGGAATTATTAGTTAAATTGGAAAAGATGGGGATCAATAGGAAAATTGAAAGGTGGATAAGGAATTGATTAAAGGGGAGACTACAACAGGTCCTACTGAAAGGTGAACTGTCAGGCTGGAGGGAGGTTACCAGTGGAGTTCCTCAAGGATCGGTTTTGGGACCAATCTTATTTAATCTTTTTATTACTGACCTCGGCACAAAAAGTGGGAGTGTGCTAATAAAGTTTGCGGATGATACAAAGCTGGGAGGTATTGCCAATTTAGAGGACAGGGATATCCTACAGGAGGATCTGGATGACCTTGTAAACTGGAGTAATAGTAATAGGATGAAATTTAATAGTGAAAAGTGTAAGGTCATGCATTTAGGGATTAATAACAAAAATTTTAGTTATAAGATGGGGACGCATCAATTAGAAGTAACGGAGGAGGAGAAGGACCTTGGAGTATTGGTTGATCATAGGATGACTATGAGCCGCCAATGTGATATGGCCATCAAAAAAGCTAATGCGGTCTTGGGATGCATCAGGAGAGGTATTTCCAGTAGGGATAAGGAGGTTTTAGTACTGTTATACAAGGCACTGGTGAGACCTCATCTGGAATATTGTGTGCAGTTCTCGTCTCCCATGTTTAAGAAGGATGAATTCAAACTGGAACAGGTACAGAGAAGGGCTACTAGGATGATCCGAGGAATGGAAAACTTGTCTTATGAAAGGAGACTCAAGGAGCTTGGCTTGTTTAGCCTAACTAAAAGAAGGTTGAGGGGAGATATGATTGCTCTCTATAAATATATCAGAGGGATAAAAACCGGAGTGGGAGAGGAATTATTTAAGCTCAGTACCAATGTGGACAGAAGAACAAATGGATATAAACTGGCCACCAGGAAATTTAGATTAGTAATTAGACAAAGGTTTCTAACCATCAGAGGAGTGAAGTTTTGGAATAGCCTTCCAAGGGAAGCAGTGGGGGCAAAAGATCTATCTGGCTTTAAGATTAAACTTGATAAGTTTATCGAGAAGGAGTACTTGTGGCACCTTAGAGACTAACCAATTTATGC